TTGGGAGATTTCTTGGACTTAAATTAAATAAAATTTAAAGAATCCTTGAGCTTGAATTGAATTATTAATATAAATATAAAATCAATCAAATGATTATCAAATTATTTTGGATGATGACATTTCTTTGCTATGCCTATTGAATTATTGTGGTATGGGAAAATTCTCTGGCAACTTGTTTGTAAAGATGAAGTGACAAACCAATTTGTTCATAACATGTGGGTTTGTGTTTCCAGCAGCTTTGATAAAAAAAAAGAAGCAGCAGCAGCAACCAACCATTTCTTCACCTATGAGGTGTTACTCATATATGAGGGAAGTATTGATAAAGCATTTAAACTGACTTTTGACTTTGTTAGAAAGTACAAGATAAATAATACAAGGTTTCATTAAAAAAAAAAGAAATATGGGAAAGGAGAAGTTATTAAAGGATGCATGCTATATTCATATAGTGAACTTTTTCTAATGCTTGATATTGATGGAGCGACCAAGGTTGCTAACTTAAAAAAAAAAGCTTGAATCTCAAGCATATACAATGGCTAATAATAAAATAGATTGATATATCTTGAGAAGTAGTTTCTTGCTACTAGAAAGTATACATAAACTTTCTAATGAAAAATTTTCATCTTGTGTTTTATTTACTATTGGTCCAAATATCTATGATATATAGTATGACTCCAAGTTGTTCACAAAGACATTTGCTGAGAAATTTTTTTAGAAATATTCAATTGAAGGGGTGATGCTTCAACATCGAAATTGTCTATTTGTGCAAGTGTCTAGATATTGCAATGATCAAAGTATTAGTCAATTGGACCAAAAAACCTCGATTGAAAGTGTTGTTGACTAATATAGTTCACATACTTGAGAGATTATATTGATTTGTTTAAGCTATGGATTTGGCATGTAAAAAAAAATTTACACCTGATCTCTGCCAACTTATACCTTAGTGGCTTATCAAACAGAGAAAAAAATGAATATCTAATGTGAATTAGTAATCGCCTCAAAGTTACATGAAGAACAATTTTGATATGTTATTTGTTCAATCTCAAAGTTCTATTTTGAGAGCATATAGCTATTTGGATAAGTGTACAACTACTCCAATAAGTGGGAGCCAAATTTGAGAAATTCAAAAACGCCACCAGATCCGCACCACTTTTACAAGCGGACAGAAGACGTTTAATGCCCCTTCCTACATTCAAAAATAATTTTCTAAATTTCAATATGATGCACCGAGCAAGGTGTCAGCACCTCTAAGATGTGTGTAGTAGCCTTGGGAAGCAAGCAACTGCCCCAAGAAGAGTGCTACCGTCTTGAGAAGCAATTCACCACATCTAGAAGCATGCGTATTAAAATTTAAAAGCCTAATATACATGCTATTTAATCCCCGATGATGGCCGTGTTGAATGTTTATATCAACTGGAGGGGATTCTACATCTTCAAATATTTTCAAATGCTTATGAAATGCAAATATTTCCAAATGGCTACAACGAAGCCCTAATGATGGACGTGTTGAAAGCTAATCTCAACCGGAGGGGATCTCAAATATTTAAAATACCACCAAATTTCAAATGAAATACTGGAACAAAATACTGATAAATTTTAAAATATTCAAATAAAATTTATTATTTAAAATTTAAAGCAAAACTTCATCCATCAACCGCAAACGTTTGTTAAGGATGATAAATTTTAGAATAACTTTAGCTCACAAAGAGCAAAATGTCTAATTGAATGTATCACTGTGATTCATTCTCAAATGATTTATCGCCAACGGGGATAATGGTATGTGCCCTCTGATCAGGTGATTTTGCTGCAAAATAGCACCACTATATCACAGTCACGGTCAAAGCCCGTATGTTATCCAATGGTTAAAAGCTCCTTGAGTAATGAATCATAGGGTGCATTCAATAAGGCACAAAGCTTTCTGTTAGCTAAGGTTGGCTAAAATTTGTCTCCTTAAACAAACATCCACCCCAAGTCTACAAGGTACTCTTGGACGAAGTAACCCATGGCTGCCGACAAGGATCCTTCTGTCAGGTTGGTTCGACTACCTCCTCTGACTAAGTAGATTAGGGACCACGATGGCCCGGGACGACGGAACCATGGGATCTTGATCGGGCTCATCATCATTCTCCCCACTATCCGCTTTAAGTATAAAAATAATAAATTTATAATTCCAATTTCATATGCTTCTACTATATGCTAGGTATTTCGTACCTACTTAATGACTAGCCTTAATCGAAAGTGCTCTCTCGTGATCGGGAGGGGTAATTAACCATAGGTGCTTGCGCCTATGGGAAACCTAGAACCATATTTTAAAGTCCTCACAAAATGAGGGCGAAATCTCTGGGTAATGTTTTATCCCAAAGTTCATCTGCCTTCTAAAAATTTGACCCGGAACATCGTTAAAACTCTCTTATTCAGGGGAGGCCGGGGCCCGAATTTTCGGAGCCCACAGAGGCCAATTATGATGACAGAGTAATGATTTGCAAGAATTGGCAACAACACGCTATTTTCCTTCCCCTTCTTCTTCTTCTTTTTTCTTGTTTTTTACTTTCATTTACTCTTTTTTGTTTCTTTTTTTTAACTAAAATAATAATAAAGATAATGAAGAGAAAAAAATCTCTCTATTAGAGGGAGAATGGGAAGAGATAGAGAGGATGTGAGAGTAGTATAGAGATAGAAATAATGGAGAGGAGGGAGAGCAATGGTGCAGCTCTCTGTTAGGTAAGAGGAAATGTTACAAAGAGAGTGAGTTGCTAGGAGGGTTGGCCAGCCTTTTGAAGTCGACGACAGTTTGCTGGAGCTAGGTGACCAAGCCACAAGCTAATGGAGTAAGAGGTGGTTTGGTCTGGTGCAGTTTGTTCATGAGTGAAGGTAGGAAGGGGTTTCAAGAAGAACAACTGGAGTTGCCCGTGATTGTGCAAGCAAAGGAGAGAGCGGTGAAGGTGTCGAACAGGTGGCCAGTTGGCTGCTATTATGTGGTATTGAGCTAGGAGGGGACTGCTGCTTGTTTTGGCTCAAGAAGGTTGAGGAGGTTGTGCTGGTCGCAAAAGGAAGAGGGTGGTTGGTGCTACCTTAAGAGGTTAAAGGAGAGGGCTGGAGGTCATGGTTGCTAGCCAGAGGTGGTACTAGATGACAATAAAATGTTAATGAGAAATGAATAAGCACTTCACATAATTCCCTCGTTTTCCATGCGCCTCGATTTTCATGTTGTCGACTCACTCAACAACAAATTTTGCTCATCTTAAGCGATGAACCATACAATATGGGTATTCATTCTAGGTAATTTTAATATTTTGGATGCTTTGGCAAAGTTTGTTTCACAATTGGGCAACGTCACGCCTGTAGTATGTTGTCTTCAACCTCATTCACTCGAATTAATCATGAGAGGTCTTCCCTTAGGTAAATTCAGCATTTTGGATGCAACAACGTAGTCCATTTGTTTGGGCAATTTTTGCTCAACAACATGCTCGCCAATTGCCATTGCTATCATCGTCTAATCGAGTTGTACACAAGTGTTTCTTTTTGGATAAATTTGACATCCTAAACATGTTGATGCACTCTGTTTTCTCAAATGGAGAACGTTTGAATGGTTTTGATGGAGGTCAACGCATTTCGAAGCTCGTCACGTGCGACTGTGTTTGTCGGTCATTTTCTTCGGTGCATTTGATTGATCGTGAAATGTATATGGAGGTCAAAAAAGTAGAATCAAATAAGGAAAAAATATAGTGACAATCAATTTTTTGAGAAATTTAGGGTAAGAGTTACTGCTATTAGGTATTTGAGATGAAGCAACTAGGAGATATTTCTATCTTAAAAAGTTTCATTAAGAAAGATCGAGTATATGATTTCCAAACTAAACTCAAATCTGAATTTAATCAGGTTAGAGTTCAAATTCTGGACAGGGAAAAGACAATACCATTGGAGTATCAAATCCTATTGATCCAAACAGAAGAAATTAAAAGCGGTATGATGCTTGATCCTCAATCTTAAGAAGGTTTAGCATAAGTAACTAAGCTTGAACTTCAAATAAGGAAAAGGGGGAAAGAAGACTTGTCCAAATTCTTAGGGAGAGAACAACAAAAATAATCACAAAGGGACGATAAGGAAAATTTATGGTATACCTACTGCAAGAAATAAAGAAATATCAAGGAGAATGGCTGGAAATCAAATGGTAAACTAGTAAGCCAACAAGAATGGGGAAAAACGACGAGGTTAATGAAGATCTCAATCCAGTAATAACTGAAAAAAACAAAACAATCATGGTGAAGGCTAGGAGAAAGGAAAACAAAATAGTGAAGACATACAAAAACTCCGTGGCTTGATAGGATCCCTTGATAAGAACCTTCTAGTGCATGTTCATTGGCAATCTCAACTAAGTCCATATACTTAAATGTCTCATTAAAGTATTATGCCAATTTAAGCTTTTGGAAAGAAAACATGTGCTGATCAATCATATCTCTAACCCAACTTCAACCCCCTCTGATTTCATCCTCTGTAACAATAACCATAGGATTTTCTATAAACTATATCTAATGAAGTTGTGATTTTATTTGTTATGCATTGTCTTATTATCCATTTCTGTAAATCGTTTCCCAGTAACTTTTACATGAACCTAGTTTTCCATTTTCCTTAGTTGAAATTTTGCACCAAGTGAACTATCTACCATACTCACTATCCTTAACAAATACACCAGGTTAACTGACTCTTGGCTAACTGCGTGAAATTTATTTTTAGTACTTCTCATCATTAGACATTACAAGAACTCAAAATTATAAATTGCATCAATGCAAGAACTTTGATATAACTTGGAGCAAGAAGGGAAGTAGTTAAGCCTTAGTTATTACTAGATATTATAGATACTCTAGTAAAAACAGCTGCCACCAAAATATAAATAAGTAGATTCATGGTAAATGCCTAAAATTTTTTTTAGAGCAGCAAATGGTCAAGAGAAATGATGAGAAATGGAAGGTTATTTCAGACATCTTACGATAATATAGACTAACCTCAGAAGAAGCAGAACCAGTCATCGCCAATGATCTATTTCCGCCTCTTATAGGCTCTTCAGATAAGGCACTTCGCTGAACTGCAAGCATATGAAGCTTGTAAAAATCAGATATAACATGACTTTAGACTGACAAAAAGTTACCATTAAAATAATTCTAGAAGACAAAAGGTTACTATTCACCTCCTATTATAAGAAAAGAATATAGAATGGAAGATTTATGGTTTCTCCCTATTTAGTCTCTCTTCATATCCTTCTTCCTTAAGGAGTCCACAACTACTCAAAAGTGTCTTCTCCTTTTTGATGTAGATCAAGAAGCATAACAAATGATGCTCTCGTTACAATAAACTCACCTCTCCTCCTCCTACCCTTGCCAACCACCAATCTCCATGACAGCCAGCCCTCTTCTCCTCCATAGAAACTCACATCTCCGCCTACTACCCCTGTTGGCCAGCATTTTACACCGCCCCACCATTTTTTTTTTTCAGTTTCCAGCTGTCCGTTTTACTTCACGGCAAGCAATCTTCAGCCATCATTCCATCAAGAATCTGCCAACTTCAAAAATCAAAATTTTCAGAATTTCTGCAGCTTTTCTACAATTTTCTAGTTTCTACACTCAGAATTTCTGACACTTTTCATATTTTGCACCTACAAGAACATCAAGAACAGCCATTCCAAAAATCTCAAGCCACCAACCTTCCCTTTTCAGCAAAATATCAAATGTTGCTCTCGTTGCACTAAACTCACCTTTCCACTGTTGGGGAAGTGAAACACGCAACAAAACAAACAAGAAATAGAAAATGCAGCGGAAAATAAATAGCATCAGGATTTAACATGGCAAAGCTTGAAACTAGGAAAAAATCATAGAGCCACCCACACACCAAGAAATTCACTAGTGAAAATTTGAGAGAAATAGTACAGATCTATCTTCGCTCTCACCCTTACCTTGCTTCTCTGTTTTCTTACATTGTTCTCTATTAACAAAAAAAAAAGAAAATGTAACTACACCCACCAAGGGATGACACACTTAATGAAAAACGAGTAAGAAAATTGCCAGCCTGTCTTGCAGCACCGCGACGCCAAATTTGGAGCGCTATGACGCTCCACTCTCCGTCTCCAGTCTGCTTAACAGTGCCGAAGCGCTGGGGTATGAAGCACCGGAGCGCCGAGATTCAGAGTGTCGCGGCGCTCCACTCTCTATTTGTCTCCAAACAAACTATATAGCGCAACAGTGCTCGGGTACACAACATCGCAACACTCAGGTACAGCGTCGCAGCAATAAACGGTAGTGCGGAAAAAAGTGTGAAGCACTTGAACCCAAGCAAGGGAAGGACCCCCTACAACCTTCCAGTGAACTCAACTGATAAAAAATTGAGGTTTAAGGCAGTAGGACAACACGATTGATCTGCATAATCAAATTCCACACAAAACTAACATCCACCCCATTCTTCAGACGGCCAGTCTCCTCCACCGCCACCTACCTCCATTTCAGATGTCAAGATAGTGTTTCTCCACCAGAAAATACTGCTCCACCGCAACCTTCAGGTTCTACTGCAGTCCTGCACTCCGTTTCCTGCATTTTGTCGATTTCCAGCAGCCCGATGTAGTTCCGGTGGGCTGCCAGCTGCAAGATTCTTCCACCAGAGGCTGTTACTCTCCCTTCTTGCTGTTTTGTTCGGAAAACCAGCCATCCATATCATTCCTCTTCCTTTTTCCTTGCATCTTCACAACATTACCAACCTCACCATCTGTTTCCAGCAGCAGTTTTCGATTTGGCCGCATTTTCCTGTTCAAGAACACCAAGAACAGAAACAGCAGCAACCATCTTCATCTAGGCGCTGCTCCCACTCACAGCCTGCTGTTCTTGAATCCATTCCAATTCCAACGCAACCGTAGCCTTCTTCTGCTGATTTTTTCAGCCGCAGAAGCCCTTCTTCAGTCCACAGATTCCAGCTAAATACCTCCACAGCTGAGGACAACTTCACCAATCTCTCCTTACCCGCAAGATTCATCCACAGGCTTCAACACCTACGCCAACTTTCAAGAACTGTTTCTACCACCTTCACCGGTTCACAATCTGCTACAAGAACCAGTATTCAAGAACAACAGTGTTGCTCACCAATCCAACTGCAATTCTGTTCACTCCTGTTTCAGCACTCAACTCATTCTCTTCAAGAACAACAGTTTGAACCTTCAAGAACAGTTACCAACACTTCAGTTGCAGTTGGCAGGACCTTCAAGACCTACAGATTCTAGCCATCAGCCGCCCCTACACCCTTCCACTCAACAACTGCGGCCACCTGATCCAAACAGCTGCAGGTTTCCGTACCAATTCAAGATTCTAATATTTTCAAACCTCCACATCCACAAATATCGAATCAATATGAAGAACACAGTTATGGCCGAAGCTCTACAGGCAATGCAAATCAATCAAGAATTGCACTTCTCCAAAATCCAAAAATTTTTACATCAAGTTGATGTTCACTTTGCTTCAATTGGCTCATCCCTTCAACAAATTGATTCTTTCATGGATTTCATAGACAATAAACTTAATAGTTTGTGTATTGACCGTCCACAAACTTTACTCCATCAAGATACTTCCTCTTCTACCAGCATACTTGGTTCCATAGGCAAAATCCTTTATGCACAACCGCCACATTCTCTAACAAGTTTTCTTTTTTTACACATCATCTATCATTATATAATTCTACCATACTCAAACAATCTCAACATTTATTTCAACCAACACTAGGTTTAACTCAACCTAGTACTATTGACCATCATATTTATCTTTCATCCTTATCTCAACCTAATATGTCGTTGTCATTCTCCTCATTTTCAAGAGAATGCTAAGAAACAATTAGTTCTAAAATGCTTCACTCCAATATTATTCGTCATAATCCCATCTTTTTTTTCTATTTCGATATTGCTTGTTCAAAAACATGATGATACTTGGTATTTTTGCATTAATTCTAGAGCCCTTAATATACTCACCATTCAAGATAAACTTTTTATTCCAATAATGCATCAATTTTTAAATGAATTACATAGAGTTTTTTTTTTTTCCAAACTCCATTTTGGTTTTGCCTCTCAGAAAGTTATATTACATTCTAAAAATGTTATAAATCGATTCATGATGGTTCTAATGAATTTCTCCTTATGCCTTTTTCCCCTTCTACATTTTTACAACTTGTTCAAGTTTTCTTGTAATGGAAATTAAATTTTCGGATGATGCCACATAGGAAAATTTTGTTGCCCTCTCTTCAACTTTTTCTTTTGTCAACCATGAGGACAAGGTTGTTTTCAATGGGGATGGGAGTATTAGACATTAGCAATATATCTTTAGCCAAAGAAAGTACAAACTAAATAGCCTATACACATGTAATAAGCATAATTTATTTCTTTTATTCTATTTTTAGTTTGTTTTAGATAGACTGATTTTATATTATAAACTTGGTCTACCCAAGTATGATAAATAGACCTCCTATTATAAGAAAAGAGTATGAAATAAAAGATTTATAGGTTCTCCCTCTCTAGTTTCTCTTCTTCCCCTTCTTCATCCTTAAGGAGTCCACACATACTCAAAAGATGTCTTTCCCTTTTTTGATGTAGATCAAGAAGCATAACACTCATCTTGTAGAACCACAACAGGGTTAACAAATTAAAAAAATAAGCAAACTATGAAACTTCCTCAACTCCCAAGAAAAGTTATTTGAGTCATGCTCTCAAGCTCAAAATAGTACAAATTCTAACTATGGTGTATTTAATGCCTCAAATAGGTCTCCTTAAAGATAGATTCAGGAGCCACCGATAACGTAAAAAATCTTGCCAGCCCCTTTTAAACATATAAACTTTACCTAAATAATAGAAAAATGAAAGTAGATGATGACTTCCTCACAACTATTGGAGCTCAAGGGAATATTTCTATTTCTTCTATATTTACCCTCAACAATGTACTTCATTTTTCTCACCTTGTATAAAATCTTCTATCAATTTATAAAACTAAAGACAACAAGTACAAGGCAACATTTCAATATAGGGTAAATGATTGGGTGAGTTAGAGAAACGGATGGCTATATTTTCTTAAAGAGAACCCTTTTAAGCTCATCTCCACTTTAAATGCTAAAATCATTTGGGACGCCATTATAGACTAGGCATCTCTCTTTTAAAACCCTATTGTGTATGTTTCATTCCCTTTTTCAAATATTAACACTAAAAACTTTCACAGTAAGGCTAGTGAAATTGCAAAACATCACCGTACTTTTATCTCTAAAAGTGATCAAGATTCTCTACTGATTTTATGTGAATTCACTCTGATATTTTGAGACCCTAAAAAATCCATAACATTTTTAGAGTTATAAGATTTGTCACTTCCATAGATAATTAAACTCGGATGATACTGGTAAATATTATCAAACATAAAATTTATAACAGTGATGAGGACATCGTCAGCCACAGCCATCCCGTCCCGTGCAGCCATCCCCCCCCCCCTTACGGCTCCCAATTTCACGGTAAAACAGCCACCCGTGACCCTCCAGCCCACCGCCTCCTTGCAGTTTCCCTGCCGCTGGATCTCCTTGTTTGCCAAACCGTGAATGCCAATTCCAGGTGACTTAATTAATTGCCTAATCAAGGGCTCATCTTAAGGCAAGGTAATTAATGACACTTAAGAGATGTTTTGAAATTCAAATTCTATTTCCCTCTCATTTCAATTCAATTTGGGAGTTACCTAATACAATTAAATTCTGAAATTACTTCAGAATTTAATGAAGTTTCACTTAACCATGTGGTCCCCACTTGTTTATTTCCTAACCCCTTTTTTTCTTTATGGCCGGCCAACATATTTTCTGAATTTGAAATCCAATGCCAATGCCTTAAATCCTTTCCTATTCCACATCCCTTTCAAGCAGGAAATTTGGCATGCTTTTATTTCCTTCAGTTAATGGGAAATTTCCAACGGCTGGAGGCCTAAACTAAATAGGAAATCTTCATGTAGATTAATTCTGAGAATAAAATCTCAGATTTGATAATTCTCCCCTCCCCAGTCCGTGACAACCAAGCGTTACACACATTGCTGCTCCCGTCCCAAGTCTCCCCTCACGGTTTTTCCTCCCTTCCCCCTAAAATCTGCTGTGTTCAAGCACTCCAGCCAAGGCAGCCTGCTGTCCTGCACCATTGGAGATCTAAAATTGCTGTCCAAACACTTCCAGCACCCTATAGCAGCTGTCCAAGGAGATTTGGAACATGTTTTCTTGCTGTCCAGCCTGCTAGAAGGTCTCCAAACACCGTCCGGACATTCCAGACCGCCGAATACACCGTCAAGAAATTGCTGTCAAGAATTCCAAACTCCGGCCACCTATCCAAGAACGACGATTCAAGGCTCCTTCCTCCTCGGAGCGACCTCAAGTCTAAGGTGGAGACTCTTCTTCCGCTAAAGCCTAGACTAGTTGAGCGTATGGCCGTATGGGCTCCAAAGGTGAAAGCTCTCTTTATTAATTCGTGGATTCTTGTTTATTGTCGTAGCGTACAATTATTCTTTACATTTTCTTTAATTGATTGGTTAATCGAATGTCGCTCCTCGTTGCCTAAGTGAGTTAAAACTAAGAATTCTAAGGTTCACTCTTTTATTACAAATGATAATTTTAATTTTGATTACTTTGTTCAAATTGCTTCCTATAATTTCCTAAAGTAACTCCATCGCATGTATGTTTCACATCAAACAGCCTTATCCTGCCTATCTTTATAGCAACAAAAAAATTTTGACGCTAGCCAAAAATTTCGAATTGATAATGCTGGTAATTATTTTAATCAGACTATACCATCTTTCTTCAATAAAGAATATGTTATTCATCAATCCTCATATCCTGACAACTCCCAAAAAAATGAAGTGATAGAAAGGAAAAATCATCATCTCCTAAAGTTAACGGAACTCTTCTTTTCCATAATTAAGTTTCCAAGCTATCACAACAGACTTTTATCTAATTAATAGGATACCCTCGAGAGTGATCGGTTTCATATGTCCCCTAAAACTAATTTGCTGAAGTTTTTTCTTGTAAATAATTTCTTCTCAAAACTTTCTCCAAAATTTTTTTAATGCATTGGTTATGTGCATGTTCACTTTCTAATAAAGAAAATTAGTTTAGCACGAACAAGAAAAATATATTTTTTATATTTTCTATTTATCTTGCATTACCTGGTATTTTAACATGTAACACTGCATCATATATGTATATCATTACAAACCATTTTAATATCCAAGAAGTTTCAATACCTCATTCGAAGAAATCCAATTGAAATGAAGCATTGCAACTTTGAGATACAATAAAAACAGCAAACACAATGATTTAGGGTCTAAACTAGACATTTGAAGCGTCATCCAATCAGAGGGAAAATTCAACTGTTAAAAATGTCCTCCATCTATGTACCATAAGAGTTGTTGACAGACAAAGAAATCTCAGGTACAAATGGAGAGAGTGAAAACCAGATTGGTACATAACATTTAAAATGTTAAGCTAATGACAATTTGATTAACTGTGCTACCACCTTTATTAAGCTGACTTTGATCGGCACATCTTCTCCATGGTTTTCCAACATGCATGAGGTAGCGCTCAATGTCAACAAGCTTTTTGTGGTTATAACACTCTGAAATCCACTCCTAGAAATATTTACATTGGCATAAGAAAAAAAAAACTATAATGAATTATTGTCACAAAATATATGACATTTTAGGATTTCAAAGGGCAATAATTTGGTATCAAAATAAACGAAAGAATGGTACAGTATGAAGATGAGGCAAAGGAATAAATGAATAAATACCTTTGAGACAATAGTGCCATTATCGGTCTCCACTTGTCTAAATTTAGGAGTGTTAGGAAATGCACATACGAGAAGGGTACAACCTGAGGCCCAATCAGGTTGATACTCGGCTCCCATTTCTACTGCTTGTGCCCTTAATGTGCTTCTCTCTGGGTTAACAAATCCAGATAAAACAAAAACCACCCCTTCCTATCCAAGAAAATATGAGAATTTTCATGTCATTTATTTCATACAAAGTAGATAACTTCAAAGTTAATAACGTACAAGTTTATATAATTCCCAGCCTACGATTTTAAAATTTCGTTCAACTGTCCAATGTCTTCCTTCTTACCAAGAGTCTTGAAAACTCGAAGTTATTTTGATTAGCATCATATGAAGTAGCAGTGCATTCCTCCATATCAGTTTTCGACAATATTTCACATGCGTCATTCTGCTTCTTTTGGGATTTGTTACTGTTTTCTTTAGAACTCATCCAAGTAGGAAGGCTTCTCTTAGCTGGTGTATGACTTCCACTATTAGGGTTTGAATTTGTGTGAGGCATTGGGAAAGCCTTAACAAATAACTAATGTAACTGACAAAACAAAGCATTGAATGCAACACTTTTGGATTTTGAAGCAGCACTTCTTTCTTTATGATGACAGCATAAGAGCCAAATAATAAGCGATCCAAACAAATCCCTGCGAACAGCATCAATGGGAAAAATGAACAATAAAATTCAAAATAATAATGCAGGAGAAAATAGCAAAGTTTCTAAACAGCATAACTATCAAAATGTCTGAACAAGAAATTCACATACTATAAACAGAGAACCACATTTTAAAAAATAAAATGAATAACAAAAGTATATATAAATGATTTCATATATATGTAAGTAGAATTAGAATGAGGACATGCATAGAAAAATAAGCCAGAAAAAGGGGGAAGTGGTAATAGAAGCACCCTGGTTCAAATTGGTTCTAATTTTGGTAAGATGTTCTCGGAGCTCTTTTATACTCATGTTATGGTAAAAACAGCAATAAACTTAATTCATGGAAAAACAGCCACAGATAACTAATGGAAAGAATAGCAGATAACTAATGGAAAGAATAGCAAAAGTTGTACCAACCAAATCCTACTCAGGCAAGCAAAACCCCAGAAGAAAGTATTGCCCGTAACATTAGTGATTAGAGCTACAAGGGACTGCAACCAAACAAAAAATATTGTTTGAACCAACAGACAATCAATACTCTTTCACATTGGTAGGCTTTTTCCCGATAAACTAAAGAGCTTTGCTCATTAATTTTGAGATTGTTTGTTATCATCATGACTTAAGAGAGTAATGATGAGTTTATTCATTTCTATCAAGGAACACAATAATCTAGGGATGCTGTGTAAATCTCCATGTCGCGATTTAAGACTTTGCAGAATTAAAAGACTAAAAACTTATTATGGCCAATCACTAGAGATATAAAGAGGAGAATTTCAAAAAACAAATAAAAGAAAGAAAATATATGGCATAACTATAAAGAAAACTTCTTTTACAGATCCAAAAATAAAGAAAGCATTGTTTTCAATTTCCTGGGAATCCTTATGTTTAGAATATTTAGATCTAGCAAAAAAAGATGGGGAACTGCAAAAGGTTCAGTTAAGCTGCTCGGGGAAAAAAATAATCTCGAACCATTTTTTCCAACGATTGTTATGCACTCAATACTTCTTTTTTTGTATTTTTATGAACAAATTCAATAACCAAAAAATACTGAAGGATGGAAAATCCAAAGTTCAAGGTATTAAAACAAGGATTAAGTACATATTTTCATACAAATTATAAAAAAAAATTCTCTTTTAATATAATTGTTTGAAAAAAAAATCATCACCTAAATAAAATAATTAAGCATCACACAAGTGAATGCAATTACATCCTATATATATATATATATAGTCCGACTGAAACAGGGAAGAAATATGTTCTAACTGAGTAATTCATTCAAACGCCCATGGATGGATTTATACACCAACAATAACAGAAAATGAAACAATAAATCTTGGAGAATCAAAATTTTAAACAATAAAAACAGGAAAATAATAATATTCTCATCCTTGGAAATCAGATATTTTATTTGCACATTTTCCACACACCCGTTCGAGAATTGTTATTTATTATTTCCAATTTGTCAACAAGTGTTTCAAAGCTCAATCTAGGAAGCCCCTTTGTTAGCATATATCCCACTTGCTACTTTGTATGAATGCGGTCATACAAATAATCCCTTCCTCTCTTATTTATTTAAGTGTCTATCAACTTCAACATGTTCTATTCAATCCTGATGAATTGGCTTATTTGCAATATAGCGTTGCTTATTAGCATATATCCCACTTGCTACTTTGTATGAATGCGGTCATACAAAACATCATTGGATACCAACACCCCTTTTAGTCAGGCTAACTCACAAATTTCTTGTGCAATTACTTTAAATTCAGTCAACACTAAAACATACTAAACCTATTGTTTTTTGTCACTCTGCGTGAATAAGTTTATAATACTTTAGTACAACAGTCTGATTTAGACCTCATCGTCATCAATATAACCTTCCTAATCAATTGTTATAAATAGGGGTGTAAATGAATCCATTCATACTAAAGTGAGCCCAGCTTGAGCTTAGGCTTGACTAACTAATCAATTTTACGCTTGAGATTCTTCAAGTTCAAATTGGCCTATTTATTACGAAAGACACAGGATAATTCTACACTGTGGTTCATCATGTAGCCTCTCAATATCGAATTTATGATGCCTTCACCAAACATCTCTCCACCGCATAGTTTGTTCTTTGCAACAAGTTGTTCACCACACTAAGTCACCACCTTGAGGGGAGTTATGAACAGTATACTTCTCTATCACAGAAATACTGCACCTGTACCTACAGCCACACAACAAAAAAATAAAAAACCGGGTTTAGGAATTAGGAGTCAGTATAAATTTTCTTTTAGTTTACCGGTTCACAACCATTCGGCCTTTCCCGATTTCACAACCTCTCTCCGTGTTTCATCGCAAGCGATGCCGCAACTCACAACGCAGCGACCGGCGGCGGCAGACGACGTGCCTTCTCCCCTGCCTAGACCCGACAACTCTCACTCCTTTTGTGGGCTTGCTCGGACGGAATACAGCCGTGAGGTTTTTTTTTTTTTTAAGTTATAATGTGGTATTATATCATTTGTTCTATAAAATAGACTTGTTCCTTGCAAAGATTTTCCTACTTCAATGCTTTGTCTTCATTTTGTTGTGAGATCTTTAATTTTATTTTGTTTGATTTTATAAGTTTTATTGTTTGTTTCTTTGCATTTATAAGATTGATTATGTATGTTTTATTTATTGATTTCTGAATAGATATATAATCAAATTAATCTTAAGGCATCTTTGAGTTCGAATATTATGGAGAGATATTTCAAACGATCTTCAATTCCAAAAACATCAAATGACAATAGCAATCAGGTTGAAGATCATAACGAAAAGTGTATTCGACTGGATGTTGATTTACCCAACAATATAGAAGTAACGGTTGAAAATCTTCCATCTGATCCAGGACTACGAATTCCCATTGTTGACTTTAATCCTAATATTATGGATGAAGTTCGGAGAATATATTTACAACGAGGGTCATTTCAACCTCGCAGTCCTGATTTTCCAAAAACTAAATTTGGGATGAAAGACAAGCGATTTAATCCTACTTGGTTTGACAAATACTCTAATTGGCTAGAGTATAGCATAAGCAAAAAAGACAAATCATATTGTCTTTATTGTTATCTGTTCATAAAACTAGGTAGAAGCAATGAAGTGGAAGAAGCATTTAATAAAAATATATTTTCGAATTGGAAAAAAACAAACAAATTTGATCTTCATGTAGGAGGTCATAATAGTGCGCATAATAATATTAGAAGTAGTTCTGAAGACCTACTGAAATAGAGTCAAGATATTGGATTTGTGTTCCAAAAGCAAACATATCAAGCTACATCTGCATACCATATCCGTCTCAATACTTCTGTTGATTGCATAAGATTTTTTTTGAAGGGCTAGCTTCCTGAGGACATGATTAGTCTTCTACGTCCAAAAATTAGGATAATTTTCTTGAAATGGTGCACTTTTTGGTTGAACATAACAAAGACATAAACGATGTGATTTTAAAGAATGGTCCTGAGAATTTAAAGTTAATTGCACCTGATATTCAAAAAGATATTACTAGAGCATTCACTATTGCTATTATAAAGTTTATATCTGAGGAGATTGGTGATAAATTTTACTCAATTTTAGTTGAAGAATCACATGACACATCCACTAAGGAGCAAATGACAATCGTAATCCATTTTGTTAATAAGAAAGGCGAGATAGTGGAACATTTTTTGGGGATTTCTCATGTATCAGATACTACTGCAAATAGTCTTAAATTGGCGACTGAACAACTCCTATCAACATATGGTTTGAACATATGTAGAATACGGGATCAAAGCAATTATGGTGCTAGTAATATGAGAGGGGAGTTTAATGGTCTGAAAGCTCTATTTCTGAATAAAAATCAATTTGCACATTACATTTATTGCTTCTCACATCAACTTTAATTAGCATTGGTGGCAGTGGCAAAAAATCATTTTCATATTAATTTGTTGTTTACTATCATTTCGAGTGTAATGAATCTTGTTGGTGTTTCTTATAAGCATCGCGACCAAGTTCGAGAAATATAATGTGAGAAGACATTAAATGAATTACAAAGTGAAAATCTTTTATCTGGGCAAGGCTTGAATCAAGAAATAACCCTTAGGCGTGTTGGTGATACGCGGTGGGGTTCATGCTATGAATCAATTTTAAGATTAATTACAATGTTCTCTACAGTAATTGATGTTCTAGAAATCATTTTGGAAGATGGCTTAAGCTCAGAACAAAAAAGTGAGGCATATGCTTTATTAGAATCGTTACAGACCTTTAAGTTTACCTTTTACATACATCTTATGAAAGATGTTCTTGGTATCACTAATGAACTATCACAAACTTTACAGAGAGGAGAACAAGATATTGTTAATGTTATGTCTTTGATGCGTATATGTAAAAAAAGACTGCATTATATGAGAGATAACAAGTGGACTGACTTCATCAGTAATGTAGCCTCATTCTGTGAGCAACAAAATATCAATGTTCCACATATGGATGACAAATGGGTTGCTCGTGGTAGGGCACGTGATGCAGGACTAATTAAAATGATATGCTTGTGACTTTATTTCAGACTTTGCACAACTCATCGATTAGAATAAATCCCGAATAAAATTATTAGCAGGCATTCACGGCGAATAAAACAATTAAGGAGTCAATCCTGCATAGGTTAAATTACATGCGCCAAATTTTGAACGTTCAAGGTAATCAAGAAAATAAAAACAAGACAAAATAGTAGGCTTCAAGTTAATCCCTCATTTAACAATAAGACGTAGGATGCATAGAAGTTTACACTCAATTCCTACAAGTGACTAGGTTTGGCTAGAGCAATTTAAGGCGCTTCCGTGATTACAATCATCCAATGAGAATTTAGATTTGGAAGAAATAAAATGCAAGCGAAAAGGAGAACCTTTGCTTAAGGAGACGTGGAGATTTTCCTCTTGACGTCAGCCACCTCAATCCTTGTTGTAGAGAAAGAAGTTTCTCCAATGAAGGAATAAGGATCTTCTTCCAACTGCTGATACCAAAATCTGAAATTTCGGTTCAGGTTTTACTCAAAAGCTGAGGGCAATCTCTGAATATTTGGTTTAATTGGAACTGCTTGGGAGAGAAGAAATCAAAGCATCCAAAGCTTAGTCTAATGAGAGAAGATGGAGGCTGGAGAGGAGGGGAGACGGGTAGAGGAGGGAGGCAGGCGTTGGGCGGCAAACAGAGAAGAGATATTAGGGAAGGTTTGATGAGTTTCCTAAAGCAATATAATTACTTGAGCAATAAATCCGTCCAGGCTCGGTATAATAGGCGGCCAAGAGGAAATTATGAATAAATTCAAATTATTTCCTAACTAATGGAGGGGATTAGGAAATAATGGCAACGTGATTAATATGTGAGCATGGGGGCCGGCGATATGCAGGGATGATAGGCAATTAATGGAGAGCAATTGTGGACTCCAATTTAGGATTTAGAATTAGGAAAGAAATAATTTAAATCTTCAAGGATTTGAATTTTGAAATAAGATTTAAAGCAATTACTTTCCTAAAATAGAAGTGACATATTAGGAAAGATTTTGAATTTCAAATATTTTGACTTCAAATTCAAATATCTTCCCTAACATAACAAATCCACAATAGGAAACAAATCAAAAGAGGGAAAAAGGTGAGGAGATCGGCGGCAAGGGCTCAAGGCCGGCGGTCAAAGACTATGGCCGGCGGCAAGGAGGGATTGCCGGCAGTGCGAGGTCGTGGAAATTTTGGGCGGGATGGTTGGGTAAGATGGCTGGCGGTTTGGGGTGGAGGTGGGGTGTTAGGCCGTGAGGCTCAAGAGGGAAATTGGTGGGTGATGTGGAGGAAAACCGGTAAGTAAGGGTTGGAAAAAAAAAGATAGAAGAAAACAAAGAGGATTAAGGAAAAGCCACGAACTCGACTTATCTAAGTTGGTGGGTATTGCGCCATCTCCTTCCTCTCCAAGGAAGGTCTCCACTAGAACTCACAAGTTCTCACAATGCTCCAAGCAAGAAAACACAATTCTCCAATAATCATTCATTAGCCATCATAGAATAAAATGGGGCTTTAAATAGCCTCCTACAACATGACATTAGCTATTAATATTATTAAAAAAATACTATTATATACTTTAATTTGGTTAATATTATATAATTAATCAGCGATTGGAAGCTTTTTAATAATTGAGGCAATATATCTTAATGTATTAAACAAGTAAGTTATCTTCTACATATTGATAATAAGATTTGGCTTAGGGGTTGAGTGTGGAAATCCATGATGCTTCCGCAGAGTTTGAGACTCAGTGAAGCCACCCATAATTGTGAATTTTTTCCTTAAAGGGGCAATCGTCATCATGTACCAACCTGCATCATGTGGCAATCTATATTACGTGGCAGTCTACATCACATAGTACTCTATGTTATGTGGTATCCTAAGTCATGCGGCAGACTATATCATGTGGCAAGCAACATATTCATTGCCCCCATCAATGGATGTGGGGGAGATTATCTAATATAGTAATTGATGTGGCAAGTTCAATTGGGGATTTTCCACCATAATTATCAATAAAAAATAGTGCAATATAGCTCATAAGTTTCTTGGAACCATTGTGCATGGTGATAGTAGCATGCATGCTATTTTATAATAGTGCAAATCATTAAAAACATTAATAATTTATTAATAATTCAAGAAATGCTAGAAAATATCCTAAAAGTTTTAAAAAATAAATCAATATCACATGATATAATATAAGATTACTTTAAAATATATAAATGTTAATAAAAGATAATCATATCAAAAAATCAACCATCATTGCAAAGAAAATAATTAAATTTGGAAATAAATCTACCATGATTATAACGATACATAATATTAGGACGAAATGCTAAACTCTAAAGGTTAGGCATAAAGAATGATATAAAAACTATGTTTAGAAGTCCCATATTCCTCAAAATATGAACTAGTCATATCAACAAAATCAATATTGTCAAAAATTAAAAATAGTCTCACTCCACCATTATAATCTTCTTCAGCAGTGTCATCATTTTCAAATAATCTGCAAGTATTTTAGGCCTAAAAGAAGATGAATATTCTTTTAATTCAGATCTACATGAATAATGCAAATCATCTTACAAACATCACTAGGTCTTGTAATGTTACTCAAATCAACACAATTTTAAAAAAAATAACGAAGCTATTTGCTTATGTGCATTGCACATATAGTGTGTTATATTTTATTCATATATGCCTTCCTATGCAATGGCGCAATAGGTGTGCGTGCTCTATTTATACTACTGACACGTATCCTTTCCGTGTCAATGTTGTCACCTTATGATATGGCAAGTATTCAAAAAAAAGTCAACATATGAGTCATTCATTTATAAATACATTTGAGGGAGAGTTCATCCTTCTAATATCAAAGAGGAAGTTCATCCTAAAAATTTTTCCATCAAATTAGACTTTACTGAATTTATTTTCCTTGTAAGTACTTAAGATAATAGGTGCCAAAAAAGTTACCTTGATGCGCAATCTTTCAGCAACCTCAGATTGTTCATCATATTCATCAAGTACCTAAGATGCACAGGAAATCATAACAACAAGGTTTAATAATGTTAGTGTTGCTGTAAAAAACTAGTATAAAGTTTATATTAACAAAATAATTGTGTATATAAGGTTAAAAATTAAGACTTAGTACTAAATTTGAACTTTCTCAAAAGCTAGTGTTGTTTAACTTTAGGTATGTCAGTTGTTCATCATTGTCAGCATCATTAGCCTTATCAAAATTATTTTGTGTCTGTTGCATAAATTATTTTTTTTTTTTTTGTTGGAGTTGTCTGAGGTGTTAAATCTATCATTCAAAAAATATTTTAAACAACATGTATCCATGCAATAATCTATCAAACCCTTCTGCTCTCTAATCCCCAAACACTAATTTTATATCTCATATAATGAGTACATTTTTTATAATTTATATTTCAAATTCAAATGACCTAAGTCTATATCACTCACCTTATATTTAATAGATGTCACTCTAATCTTTGTCCAAATTATAATAGAATAATAATAAGACTCTACAGCCAACCTACCGATAAGGCAATGTTGTAAGTCCCAATTTTTAGGCCTCCCCATCACTAGAGTCATAAATCTCATTTCAAAGCTCAATCCTTTACATATGAGGGTAAAGTAGAGAAGACCCATAACTCAATAATATACAAAGCTTGTTCCAGTATAAATGAAAAATAAAGTCAAAATGTTAAGAAAATAACTTTTCAAAGACCAATCATGTCTACATATAGGGCTAGAGTAGATAGAGTTCATGGCTCAAAAACAGTCCAAAACCTGATCCTCTATGTACCAAGGGTAGAGTAGCAAGTCCCATCCCTCAACAATTCCTTAAAGCCTAATCCTCTACATGCAAGCGTATAATTGATAGGGTTAGCTTAACAATTCTCTAAGGGAAAATCCTCTACATTACATAATTAAAATATGCAAATAAAAAAATGAATTCCCACGTTGACGCTAAGTGAAGGGCCAGGGCTTACTAAAGATTGCCAACACCAATAAATAAAAAAAGAAAACATATAAGCAAAATATAAATATGAAAAACAACCACACCAATTCGTGCAAGTATTCAATTTGATGGCTCAATTTACATGCCAACATGCTTAACCCTAAAGATCAAATCAAGGAAATCAATTCTAGCACTTAGAGATATATTCTTTGAATTGTCCAAATATAACTCAAATTATAACCGATCATTGAAACAAAGATATTTTTTCTCCAAACTCCCACCCCTAAAATGGGCAGAATTATTGCAAATCATAATGGTAGAGGTTCCCAATGAAATATATAATTCCCACAATAAATCAAGTCATGTTGTGTCTTCACCAATATGATGAGCATTATATATATATATATATATATATATATACCAAAATAATAGAATCTCCCCAATACAAATCAATTAAAGAAGTTGAAAACTCCAAACCCCCAATGATGGACAAGGTTATCAGAAGAAAATAAATAAACGGGTCAATATCCACATGAATCTCAAATACTTCAAATGTAAAACTCTTAAGGGTAAGTCTCTTCAATCAGTCAAAAAAATTTCAACAATCAAAAAAAAAAAAAAAAAAAAAAAAAAAAAAAAAAAAAAAAAAAAAAAAAGAATGCCAAAGATCACAAAGCCTCTACAAGCTGAGCTAAAAAAGTGAAAGAATTATGAGTTCTTCAACCTAGGGATGAATGGGATAACAATGGTTGAGCTTTCAAAGTTTCTAACATTCTTCCTCGCCAACAAGCCAAAAGATGATGGCGCAAGATAGTTCTAGCACTGAACATGCTAATGGCCGAGTTGGACTTCCAAAGCTTCTCTAGTTCAAACAGCCTCAACAATACAAGAAAATTAAGACATCCAGCCAGTAAAAAAAAATTATGATTCAACCAAAAATACTAGCCTAATCGGTTCTTAAATCTAATTCGGGATTCTTATATCAATGATGTGTTCGTTTATCAGAAAATCATAACTAGACGAGTTCATTGTATAAATCAGGCTCCAAACCACAATGAAAATACACGTCAAGCCTTACCTTATTGATTAGTTTGATAACAAGAATATTATAACGGGAGGGGTTCCTTAAAAAAGTCAAGCTCCAAATTAAAAAGAAAAACATTTTGAGCCATATCCCCCAAGACAAGTACAATTATTGGCAATCATAATTAAAAAAAACTTCATCATATAAATACCTTTTAAATTCAAAGATAAATGTATTTGATAGGACTTGATGAACAAAACAGCACACAACAATATAAAAAAACAGCAACTTACTCCAAATAGATCAAGAAATAACATAAAGAGAGCTGTTTTTACTAATTTTCAAGCAAAGCAAGACAATATACAAGTTGATTCATTGTTCGAGAGGTGAATCATCTCTCCCACAATTCCTAGTAGCTACTAGGAACTCAAAACCTCACAAAAACTGCTGCAAGAACTCAAAACATAACATAAAAACCCCAACCCACCATAATCTCATCCCTTAAGCAGCTCAAATTCCCCCTAATAAATGCCATTTACTTCTAATAAATGCCCCTTACATCTTTCTCAAAGAATCCTCTCCTTTCCCAAAGAGTTTCCTCCCAAAACCTCAACTCCTATAGCTGATAAAAGAGGTGTTGGGCCCCACATGGGTAGCTAAATTGTAGCTACCAGCTATATCAATACTCCCCTCCCAAAAAGTAACCTTGTCCTCAAGGTGAAAAAAGAGAAATTGCTTCTGAATAATACGGTAGGGCTCCCATGTTGCCTCATATTCTGGTAAATCCTTCCACTCGATCAGCACCTCCTTGATCCCCTTATCTCCTTGGCGCACCCCATTCACCTCTAATGGTTCTAATATCACCTTCATATCCTCTAACAATGTGATTGGTAGTGCGGGCGAGGGTGTGTGGTTTCCAATGGCTCGTCTCAGTTGCGATACATGAAATACGGGATGAATGACTGAGGTCAGTGGCAATCATAGGCGATATGATACTGAGCCAATGCACTCCACTACCTCGTAGAATCCAAATTAGCGGGAGAAAAGCTTCTCATTCCTTCGTCGAGCTAAAGTCCTCTGTCTGTAAGGCTGGATCTTCAAATAAACCATGTCCCCAACCTTAAACTGCACATCTCTCCTATGTCCATCCGCCTGCTTCTTCATGATTTGTTGTGCTCTCTATAGAAGTTCCTTCAATTCTATCAAAATCCGATTTCTTTCTCCCAAGTATTGCTCTACTGATGACACTGGTGTGTTGTCCTGCCCATAATGTATCAGATGAGGTGGATCCCTCCAATATAGAATTTTAAATGGCGTTTTCTGGGCTATTATATGATATGAAGTGATATTTCACCCAGGCTAACCATTTGGCCCACATCTTTGATGTATCTGATACAAAGCAACGAAGATAAGTCTCCACACTGCGATTCACCACCTCCGTTTGATCATCCATCTGGGGGTGATAAGTTGTACTCATCTTCAGGATAGTCCCCAGCATCTTGAATAACTCCATCCAGAAGTGGCTCAAAAAGATTTTATCCCGATCGGACACAATGGACACGGGTATGCCATGCAAACGAACCACCTCTCTAATGAATGCGACTGCCACCAACACTGAGGTGTAAGGGTGGCGTAAGGGAACGAAATGAGCAAATTTGCTCAATCTGTCCACAACCACTAGAATCACAATAAACCCATCTGCTCTAGGTAGTCCCTCAATGAAGTCCATAATCACCTCTTCCCACACCTTCTCGGGTAATGCTAATGGATGTAGAAGACCACCTAGAGTCATAGCTAGATATTTGTGTCTCAGACACATATCACAACTGGCCACCAACTCCTCTACATCCTTCCACATACCCACCCAATATAGCTCTGCTGCTAGTCTATGATGTCTTTTGAATTCCTGAATGCCCCCCAATAGCTGTACCATAAAACTCCTGCAACAAATGAGGGATGTGTGGCAATTTCCTCAAAAGCACAAACCATCCCTAATATAATAGCTTCTGACCCATCAAAGAATAATCATGATGGCTATCCTTATCCTGCAGCAAGTCCCCTCTAATCTTACTCAACTCCTCATCCTGCTCGCACTCATGCTTCAAGGTCTCCCAATCCACCAACATGGGAATAGATAGAGTCATAACCTAAAGGTCTTCACTACGCCTGAAAAGAGCATCTGCTACTTTATTTTTTAACCCGGGCTTGTACTGAATCTCGAAGTCATAACCCAACAACTTGAAAAGCCACCACTGATGCTTCTCTGCCACCATCCTCTGCTCTAATAGGAACTTCAAACTTCTATGGTCGATCCTGACTATGAAGTGACTTCCAAATAGATAAGGTTGTCACTTCTGTATTGCCAACACTATCGCCATCAACTCTCTTTCATACATTGATTTCAGCTTGGCCCTAGCAGTCAAAACCTAACTGAAATAAGCTATGGGTCTCTGCCTCTGCATCAAAACTGCTCCTAACCCAAAACCTGATGCATCAATCTCCACTACAAACGGCTGGCTGAAATCTGGTAGTGCTAACACAGGAACACTTGTCATGGTTTTATTCAGCTGCTCAAATGCCTGGGTGGCTGCCACCCCCCATTTGAAACTATCCTTCTTCGGTTGATCTGTCAAAGACTATGCTATAGAACTATATCCCCTCACAAACTTCCTGTAGTATCCTGTGAGTCCCAAGAACCCTCTAAACTCATTCAGGATTTTGGGTGGCCACTCCAACATAGCCTCTATCTTGAAAAGATCTACAGCTACTCCTAATTTGGATATCACATGTCCCAAATTCTCCACCCCTTTATTGTGTAAAGGAACACTTCTTCAACTTGGCATACAATTGATGTTCCTTTAATGTCACTAACACTAACCTCAAATGTTTCACATGCTCTGCCTCAGACTGACTTTACACTAAAATATCTTCGAAGAAAATCAATATAAACTTACGGAGGTAGGGCTGAAATACTTTGTTCATAAGTGACTGGATGATAGCTGGGGCATTGGTAAGCCCAAAAGGCATCACTAAGAACTCGTCGTGGCCCACTCTTAAAAGCAGTCTTTTGGATGTAAACGGGCCGCATTCTAATCTGATGATATCCCGATTTCAGATCAATCTTAGAGAACATCATCGCTCCATATAATTCATTCAACAACTCATCAATGACCGGTATAGGAAACTTATCCAACATAGTTTCCTTATTCAGAGTATGGTAATCTACACAAAATATCCAACTACCATCCTTTTTCTTCACCAACAACACCGAACTGGAGAAGGGACTAACACAGGGATGATTGATCTGGGCCTCCAACATCTCCTTGATCAGTCTCTCAATTTCATCTTTGAACTTGTGGGTACCGATAGGGTCAAACACTGATAGGGGTTACCCCCTCCTTCAGGATGATGGCATGCTCATGCTCCTTTGGGGGAGGTAGGCCTTGAGGCAGCTAGAACACCTCACTAAATTTTTGTAGGAGTAGTTGAACTATCTCTGGAACCTCCTCCTCTTTCCTCATACTTTCTCCTCCCTCGAGGCTCTGGAGCTCCACCAAGAATCTAATCCCTACTCCCTGGATTGCCCTCACCATGGTCTTGAGAGAAACCTTAGTTTTGGACATATTAGGATCCCCTCTAATTCTCACATTCCTTCCTCTCATCATGAATTCCATAGTCAATGCTTTATAGTCCACTTTAGTTTCCTCCAATGTCTGTAACTACTTCATGCCCAAAATTACATCTGTGCTCCCTAACTCCAAGGGAAGAAAATCCTCCTATCGTGTTCCCAATCCCCTATCATTGGGTACTTCTCTCTGAATGGGCACAGGTTGTACCTTTGGTGCCAAAAAAGTAGTCGTTGTTCAGTATGAAGCTCCCAAATTATTGTCTTTGCTGGTTCTCTCAAGTGAGTTTTTGTCCTCCACCAACTAGGCTAGCTCCATGGCCTCCCTTAACCCTCGTGGCCTTAATAACCGGACAGCAGCCCTGATTTCTGGATTGAGTCCCTTTATGAAATTCCCCTCTAATACTGTCTTAGAAAACCTCCCCAATCGGCATGAAAGATGCTCAAATCTCTCTTGATAATCCATCATTGTCCCTTCCAGAACAAGAGCAAAAAATTGCTCGTAAAATTCTCCTTCCCGACTAGTTCGAAAATGTTCTAATAAGCTATCTCTGAACTCCCTCCACGATCGAATTGGTTCTCTCATGTCTCTCCACTGATACCAAGATAATGCCTTCCCCTCCAAGCATAAAGCCGCCGCCGTGAGTATCTCTTCCTCTTTCAAGTCTGTCGTCAAACTTCTCCTCAAGAAGGAGATATATCCAACTGGTCATGAGCTTTCTCTCATGCAGAAAATAGCTAAGCAATAAAAAAGGTTAGCCTGTACTATAATACCTAAGAAGGCAACTAAGGTAATGGAGCAGCCACTTGTAACGGTAAACTACTAACTAGTAAGGAGTAAAATAAATTATAATTATAGGATACTATGAGGCACCGCATCAAGGAAGAATTTAAAAGGTTTTTTAAGTAAATGGGCCCCCATATTAGAGGCGTACGCCTCAAAGGAAATTGCGCAATAACGCTAGTGAGGCGAGCCTCACTCCACCTGAGGCGTACGCCTCATGATGCCTGAGAATTGCCTAGGGTTTGAGGCTATTTTGGAGCAAATTGCGCAAAAGCGTACCTCGAATTGCGCAATTTTAAACTATGAGATTAACATAAACAATGTGAATGAAGCTCACAAGTACAATCTACTAGGATTTGCTACACTTTTTTTATATCTTTTTTATAGATTGGTATGAGATGCCATGGATATTGCTTGGTTCACCGTCATGTAGTTGATTGGATTGTTGGATCTATAGGTAGGCTTTAACATAGGTCCATGTATGTAATTATCTATCTTCCTTTGGTATAAGTTGTATAGTTCAGTCATCCTTCCTAGAATTAATTTTTCAAAGTATTTTCTAATCCAATATGAAGAGCATGAGCATTAATCACATTTATATTATCTGTAAGATCAACTTTTGTAAACTCACTCAAAATGGTGAAATGGCCAAGTGATTTATTTAAGTAAAGATGGATACAAATATTTCTCAGATATCTTGAACGTAATTATCATTTAGTCAGAATTATGTGATATAATCTGATTTTTTCCTATAAAAGAGACAGAATAAGCTGCAGGCTGCCACATACATCATCATTGGTAATTGCATTCAAGCACCTTTGCTGGATCACCTTTGCTGGATAGCCATGCGTATTCCAATATCACAAGATTTTCTGAAAGAAATTAATTAGTTCAATATGTAGCCCTTTTCTAGTAGAAGAATACTCCAATCTATCGGCCCCATGAAAATCTTTCCCGAAAAGGTATTACCTTAACCTATACCCGATGCTTCAGCTACTAAAGTATTCAACTTCAATTAGTACTCAACTGAACCCTAACATTAACCTTTCACCCAAATTTAATAGACATTCATACGTACTCCCCCTTCTCCACATAACTAGAAGAATCGTAGAAGTTCAACAATGGTGATAACCACGGCATAAATTTAGCAAATTTCCTATTATAACACGTTGATCACACAACCATTCTGAACATTTAAAAGGTAAAGTGACACTCACATTATGCTTGAGGAAAACCACGGAACCCTGATCATCACCTGACCCCTTACAGAGCTTGACAAAACCCTGCTCGATATACTTGCAGCTCCCGCAGGACGTGCGATAGAAATCCACCACCACCAGAGAATTTTTCCCTTTGGCCTTCTCCAGAATCCTGGAGAACTCCTCCTCCGTCTTGAACTCCTTCACGCAATCCACAGGACATAACCCGTCTTCTTCCTCTTCATCATCGCCCAAACTAGATGTCCATCCTACGTTTGTGCTGCTGCTCTCAACAGCTCGAAGGAGAAGACAACCTCTGCCAGGCTTCAGAAGCTTCACCACAGGGAAAAGTGCTTCGTGAGAAGGGAACCTAGAAGGCCAGAAGATGTGAAATCTTTGAGAACGACAATGCTTGGGAACTTCGAGAGGAGTTTGAGAGGGTATCGAGTTGGTAGGGCTGCGACTGAGAGACGAGCTCGTAGTCATGGGGACGGCAAGCGAAAAGCTGTAATTCTACAACATAGACCTTTATTAAATGATGGGAGTTCAGCTAAAAATATCCCATGAGACAATAGAGAGGAGTAACATTTTGGGGCTGTGTGGATGCACCATGATTTTATTTAAGTAGAATTCCTAAACCTTCTAAATTCTGATTTACAAAAACTCTATGGGGGTTTAAATTTTGAAAATTATTTGGTAACATTCAATATAAGTCCTATTAAATCTTTTGGATTGTTTGACAATTCAGTTCAAGATTTAAGATGGTTAAGAAATTTGATATTTATATATTGGATAATTAAAGTACAACATCAAAAGTTCAAATAAAATACAATAAAATTTTGTTAAAAGTACAACATAATATAAATTGAATTATGAATAAATTAAAGTTGCTTTCTTCTTCATGCACCCAAAATTGCATGCTATCAAATTGAATGACTTCGATGGCTTGCTACTTGTGAGTGGAGTTGTTTGTTAGAAGTTAAATTTTGAAAAATAAAAAATTTTAAGCTTAATACGAGAGAACCTTACTCATGCCTCCCACATATTTGTCGTAATTAAATGTCTTAAAGAATCACCTTGTACTCTTTCTCCAACGCCTACATACAAATGTGAGTCTTTGTCATTGACTTGAACCTCACCCAACTCATTATCATGATGCATTTCAGTTTGTGGCATGTTGAAGTACATATTATGCCCATGATAACGCCCAATGAAGTTGTTCAAGAATGCACATGCCAGAACAACATCAACCTGAACTATTAGTGGAAATTGACGCATGTGAGTCAACACTTGGAATCTTTCTTTCCATAAACCGAAAAGTCCTCTCTACCACATTTCATAGTTAGGCATGACGATGGTTACATAGCTCATGTGTAACTGAGTACCTACAAGAAGTACCACTACAATATTCACCCAAGTGATATTAATACCATATAAATGGTGATATTCTTTTATATGTGTTTGCATATCCAGAATCAGCCAAAAAATATTTATAATAGTCACATTAAAATTACCTTCCTCGACTGCCCATCGTAAGATCTCATATCAGTTGTCGATCCGTCCTAGCTAGATCCCACATAGATGAATTATCGGTCGAATGATATTGCAGTAATGACGTTCTAAGAAGTAAAATCCCTTCCTGTTAAGGTTTCGATTCTGCAAGTTTTTGTTGATAACTACTGAAATATGAGTCTCATCTACGACCCCTACTGTATTCTCGTAGAATGGATAAAATTGAGCATTTTAATATAAAAAAGGATGGCATTCTGCTTCTGCACTCGTCATTTTAATAAATTCATAAGATAATGATATTATGGCACGTAGGACCATGTTAAAGTGCGTACTAACTATTTGAAGGAACTTGCACAACTATCTATAATTGTACGCATGTGCTATTCCCTGAAGAAAAATAGAAAATTGCTCCTAAACTAAAATATTTCTTGAAAAATGGCTGTCTAACAGTTATCTTAGTTGATGAAAAGCTTCAGATTGAATCTTGAAAGAGTTATAGGCATGTAATGGATGCCCATATAGCGGACCAGTTACATATTGTTGGCCAGTGTAATCTATGTTAAACATTGGTTTGGGTATGTATGGCTCGTCATCTAAAGAACCATTGCTATTGATCATATTCGAAATCATTTGCTTAATATAATTATTCAACTGTACATGCTCGTCAATGAGTTCACAGAGATCCTCGGGAAAAAAAGCCATGAAAATAATGAGGCATCACTGCATTAGCATTTACTAAATTGTGAAGTTGATTATGTATCCTACTTAATTTTAAAACATGACAAATTAATTGATATAGGACTAAAGTAGACATCAAGTACTACTAACAGACTAAATTATGGAATAATAAACATAGCAAAATAAAGGAAAGACTCACTAAGTAGAATAAAGAACATAGAAAAATAAATGAGACATCAAGTTGGCAACCAAGCAGAGCATCCAGAAAACTTGGGATGATAATGAACAATATACTCAATCCAACCATGAAGCAATGGCCCATCCCATGTCATCAGTGCAATCTTGTGGTCATTACAATCAATGAGGGTTTCATGAACAGCAATTATAGCCTCCATATGTCTATTCTCAATGCTACCAAGTTTTGTGAAGCACTCAGTTTTGTGTATCGGAAAATATTATCGATCTTATCAATTATCCTATCTGATTTACCACAATGCTTGTCTGGTATGCTGCACAACTTTTCCTTCTCATCTCTTCTCCTAGGGCGCCTACTTTTGCGAACATCATCCTCACTTGACACCTTGCTACGACTCATCAGAACATACGGGGGTTAATCTACATCATTTCCCTCATGAACTTGTTTGGTTTGTAAATATGAGGCTAATCCAGTCTACACAAATGATTCCATTGTTGGACATGAATATATCCTCCTCTAACTCTTCTTCTATCAGCCCCTCTTACATTATTTTATTTATGTTTCTAGATGACCATGCTAATATCCCCACAACAATATTTTCATCATATATTTTCTCAAAGACATCATACTGGTGGAATGGATTCTGATGAAATTTTGCTAGCTTTGGGTTATCCTACTCGGCAAAAAAAAATCTCTTAAGACATGTATTTTGGACTTGTAATTGGATTATCAACTTATATTAAATGTTGATTCCTAAATTATCTCATCCCATGTCTCATCAGTTGCCACAGGTAAGTGCAAGGGTTTATCCCAACCTCATCCACTTTGGTGGGACAGTTGAAAAACAACACGGAAATCAGCTTTCACATTTTTGAAGTTAGTATGTGCAATAGCTTCAGTGTAGTTTCCATCAACGCGATGATTTAATGTACAAACCAAATCCTTCCATATGTACCTCCTCAAAATGCTATCATTAATATTACCATACAAAAATTGCTCCAATAACAATTCTCTGAAGACTTCATTATGATGATCTAGCCACCTTGGTGTCTTCAATACACTTTTGTTAATATCCACAAACTTCGAATCTAATTCATAAGTAATGCCCACTAGAATACTAGCCGAAGATCGTTGTGCTGCTTTACCTTTCAAAAAACATTTCATTCTTGTTTTACAAATTTCAAAGAATATATTTTAATAGTGTCCATGGAGGTCATTTAGCATTGATAACTAAAACTTCTAATGTGCATGTTTACCATTTGAGCAGTGAGTTTTACTGTATGTGTTCTGTGTACAAGCTACGTAAATCAAGTTTTGCAAAACTAACATGATCGGGTAATAATGATTGCAAAACTAACATGATCGGGTAATAATGATGATTATTTACAGTTTGATTTTAGGTAAGTTACACTACTTTCCACTTCTTCATGAAGTGTCATTTTAATAGCACAATGTCGAACTTCCACACAACTCTAGCAAAGGGAATAAAACATTGCTGAAACATAATATGCTTATGAAAGAAGAGAAATCATATACTGTTAGCTTACTAGAAGCAAATCTGAGGAATTACTGGATATCAAAAAAAGAAAACAAGGTATACGCGAAGAAAATCCAAGAAGAAACCAACATATTATGGTGAATATGACCGAAGATGTGAAACGGATGGATCATACCTAATGGCGACCTTCTTCAAGCTAAGTTTCCTAGGGGGACTCATCGAGAGATTGCGTGAAGCAGTCATGGAATGGGGAACGTTGATATGCCTTATTATAGCGAGGATCTGCAACGATGGAGTATGGGCGGCCATAGCTTCTGAGTTGTTCTAAAGAAGCGAGGGTGAGGAGATAAAGTGAACAACTAGAATCGGGTGGACTCTTCTTCCCTCTCGCTCCAATAAAGCGTTAAATTGGTCAAATCAGAGGATTTCAAAAAACTGGGATTTACCACAAAAAGAGGTAACTTTCCATCAACCACGACTTTCATTTACCGTGAGATTTGGTTTTACATTTTTTGATAGATTTAGCTCAAATCGGCCTCAAATCCGGCCTAAATCCTGCATCCAAATAGCTCCTTTAAATGATAAATTTCTCTATATGCCTCAAAATAACGGAAGTACAATAATTCATTTCCTATTTATTTGATTGATTCATTCGAACAAAATTTTTTTAATGAGGGATGATATTCTATATATTAAAATCTATCATGGATGACATTCAATCATATCATTGTTCAAACCTAATTCGAATATTAATTTGAACAAAAAAAATTTAGCAGCTAGGCATGTGAAAGAGATAGGGAGTTCATTATAGGAGCTCACTTGTTAGGTTTCAACATCATTGGTGGTGTATGAAGAGAAGAGTCACAGACAAAGCTCATTGGAGAAGGCATAGCGGGATGTTGACATGTGAAGGAAAAGAGAAGTTTGTGATGAGTCTGCCGAAAGCATTGATTGGAGTGAAAGCATAAGGAGGATGTGATTTCTCAAAAGCATCTCATCAAGGGCATTAACTAAAGTCATGTTATGAAGGATATGAAAATTTCAAGAGGGGAGTTTGGGAAGGGCATCAACATGAATGACACTGTATGAAAGAGAATAAAATTTCAATATGAGGTAGATTGAGAGCATCGATGAGAGTGATGATATGTGAAGCAAAATAGGATTTCTCAATGGTAACCTCTTGAGAGCATGACTAGAGTGGCATTGTGTGAAGGAGAATAGATTTTTCTATCATTAGTTCGAGCAAAGATTCGAATTCAAATCAATTCGAACTAATTTTGTTGTCACTTACTTCAATAATTAGTCTATATATATATATATATATAAAGTGTAAAGAGAACAAACTATATCAGAATATGTTGATGCCATTCGCATTATGATGAACTTAGGCTTCATTTGATATTATTTTCTTACTGTTTTATATGTCAGATCGTAATTATAATTTTTGTTTGATTATTATTTTTTTATTATTTTTTTTTTTGTGCTAGAAAGCTGCTTTTTATGGAAGTTATCAAAAATTGCTTTCTTTACAGCAGCTTTATAATCGTCTTTATAAAAAGCTACGGACATCCCAAATAGACCCTTAAATGCAATCTATTTTGTGTTGAATTTAGAGTAAGAAATGCATTAATCTCGATCTAAAATAGAGGATATCTAAACATGTCTTAATGCAATTTATGACGGGACATC